TTGTCGTAGAGTCAAACATGAACGACGCTACGGATTTTGCCATGATTTCTCTGCATTTATTAACAATGAAATTGTTAATAATCTTTGAATTATTTACATTTTTTGTCGTACATCTGTATTTTCTAACTTCTTCGATGAAGAATTCCAAATCTATTTGTTTCCGCATCGTTTTCGCTACACTTCCCGCCATTACGACAATCAAACAACATGTGACTACGCGTCACAAATCCTTGCGTTTTTATTGGTTGGAGTAGGACAGAAGCGCGGAACGAAAACGGAAAAGTTAAATAATTTTTAACCTTGCTTTCAGTCTTGTTTCCATTCAACTGAACGTTACGAAATAAAGTTTCGTCAGTTTGGCTTTCAGTTTTACGATTACGTCGCGGATTCCGGTAATGTACTTTGATATACACTTCAACCCTATTACAAACGTGGTCATATGGTTAAAAACTTCAACCTGCGACATATCTAAAAAAGTGTTACAATGGGAGCGCGTTCAATAAAATCGATTTGTATTGTAGATTTTATACTTTGCTATCAGTTTCGATAGCGTTTTTAAAAATATAGTGAATATAAAACCCGCCAGTTCTACGATTGAGCGTTAGAAATACTGTATAGATGTCTTAAAAATAAAAGTAAGCAATTGTATAATACTAAAATAATGTTTGTAATTAATTGTTTTATTTGTGTTATTTGTAATTAAAAAATAATGTTTACGACAATAAAGCCTGGACTCCACATTACCGGAATCCGCGACGTAATCGTAAAACTGAAAGCCAAACTGACGAAAATTTCTATAACGTTCAGTTGAACAGAAACCAGACTGAAAGCAGAGTTAAAAATTATTATTTAACTTTTCCGTTTTCGTTCCTCGCTTCTGTCCTACTCCAACCAATAAAAACGCAAGGATTTGTGACGCGTATTCACGTGCATTAGTCACGTGTAGTTTGATTGTCGTAATGGCGGAAGGTGTAGCGAAAACGATGAGGAAACAAATAAATTTGAAATTCTTCATCGAAGAAGTTAGAAAATACACATGTCTGTACGACAAAAAATGTAAATACTTCAAAGATTATTAACAATTTCATTGTTAATAAATGCAGAGAAAGCATGGCAAAATCCGTAGTGTCGTCAATGTTTAACAATTACAGAACTGATCAACAGATGGCGCATTTCTAGTGGAGTCAAGTTAAAACGAAAACATAACTGAAACGAAAACTCTATATGATTCAGTTCTGTTTTTGAGTTTCTGTTTTCAGGTAATGTGGAGTCAAGGCTTAAGTATTCCATTTCTATATACTGTTGTGTTAAAGCACTTAAAATTAATTTTTATATTTAATTTATTTAGTATTAATTTATTGTTATTTATTAATTTTGCCTGCATTTTTGAACCTTTAATTAAAATCTTTTTAAAATTAAGAACACGTAAATCGTTTTTATAAAATTTATATTTTAACTAGCAGACCCTGCCACGCGTTGTTGTGGCTCAAAATGTATCTATTATAAATTTATAACACTTCCTCGTGGGGGGGAATTTTTCGAAAAATTTCTTTTTAGTGTACATTCTGTTGACGTACCCTATTAAAACGCAAAAAACCGCATCTAAAATAGTATAAATAGAAGCAGAGTTCTTTACGGTAAGCCTTAATCCTAACCATCTCCCTTCAGTGGGGGGAATTTCGACACGTATATTATATAAAAACACGTGCGTATTCGAATGCAGCGTTGTGTCAAAATTTCAAAGGAATCGGTAGGAACAAACGAACATTACATTTTTATTTATATAGATAGATAGATGATGATCTGCTTTAGTTCATTTTCACAGAAAAGCATAATGCCTCACAGAAAAGCAAACTTAGGGCGTCGTACTCGTAGCGCCATCTGTTGGACATAAAAGCCTTAACCTAGATTATATATTTTAATTTATATGAATGTTTAACGGAATAATATACAGCCTATGTCCACCCTGAGGTTCCATTCTAAATATTGGTGAAAGAATTTTTGAAATCGGATGAGTAGTTTCGGAGATTACCTGCTGCAAACAAACTTACATACATACATACATACATACATACATACATACATACATACATACATACATACATACATACATACATACATACATACATACATACATACATACATACATACATACATACATACATACATACATACATACATACATACATACATACATACATACATACATACATACATACATACATACATACATACATACATACATACATACATACATACATACATACATACATACATACATACATACATACATACATACATACATACATACATACATACATACATACATACATACATACATACATACATACATACATACATACATACATACATACATACATACATACATACATACATACATACATACATACATACATACATACATACATACATACATACATACATACATACATACATACATACATACATACATACATACATACATACATACATACATACATACATACATACATACATACATACATACATACATACATACATACATACATACATACATACATACATACATACATACATACATACATACATACATACATACATACATACATACATACATACATACATACATACATACATACATACATACATACATACATACATACATACATACATACATACATACATACATACATACATACATACATACATACATACATACATACATACATACATACATACATACATACATACATACATACATACATACATACATACATACATACATACATACATACATACATACATACATACATACATACATACATACATACATACATACATACATACATACATACATACATACATACATACATACATACATACATACATACATACATACATACATACATACATACATACATACATACATACATACATACATACATACATACATACATACATACATACATACATACATACATACATACATACATACATACATACATACATACATACATACATACATACATACATACATACATACATACATACATACATACATACATACATACATACATACATACATACATACATACATACATACATACATACATACATACATACATACATACATACATACATACATACATACAAACATTACCTCTTTATAATATTAGTATAGACTAGCTGTTACCCGCGACTTCCTCCGCGCGGGTTTTGCAAGCAAACCCCATTTACAGTATATTCAGTATTTCAACAATTACATACTGTAATTGTTATATAACACCTACCGCTGAGAATCAAACGAACTATTTTCAATTTGATCAAATTGAAAATAGTTCGTTGAATTAGAAAATTCAACGAACTATTTTCAATTTCTAGAACGTTTACAATCATTCTATAATCGAACCAATATGCAATAACAAAATCGAATTTAAAACGGTTCGAACACTTGGTTAAAAAATCGAAATACATTATATGAAAATATTTATAACAATGTCTGATTGTTATAAATATTTGTGAATGTTATTAATTTAATACACCTAAGTACTCAATGAAGACTAAACGTAGTTGAAAACAAAAAATCGCATCTAAAATATTAGTATAGTAGAAGCCGTTCTTCCGGTTAAGCCTTAATGCTCCCCCTCTCTCCCTGCGGGAGAATTTCGAAAAATCCCTTCTTAGTGTGCGTTTTCATGACGTATCCTAACTGTGTACCAAATTTCAACTCTAAGTTCAGCGGTTTGCTCTGGGTGATGATGAATCAATCAGTCAGGATAAGTAATTTTATATATTTAGATTTGAATTCGTAATTATTTGTTTTTACTAGTAAATAGTAAATATTATATGTGGCGAAATACAACTATTTAGCTGCACACCTGATCGCCAACTTGGGGAATAAGAACTTTTCCCACAGTTCGTTTTGTTTTATGTTCCCGCGTTTTTAGCTAAAGTATGAAGTTAGCGCGTTGATATTAAGTTTGTTCACCTCAAGCGAGGCGTGGTGATTTTTCATGTTCATTGGTTGATTTTTCATTTAATTAAAGGTTCGAATAAAAGAACATATTAATGCAATAAAATATAATACACAAACTTCAGCTGTAGTAAAACACTATAATTTAAGCGGATGTGAAATAGAAAAAGATTCGATAAAAGCCATAAAATTTGAAACAAATATTAAATATATTACTATAACACAGTAAATATTATGAAGATATTGAAATTTTAAAGGTTAAAAATAAAAAAGAATTTATGATAATTTAAGTGTAAAAATAGATGAAGGTTGGTATGATTATATCAGTTAAAACAAAAATAGATTTATGACATAAACTGGATGACAGAAAATGTATAATGGTCGCTATTTCTCTGGAATTTGATTGTAAAAGTGCATGTTTTTTTTTTTTTAATTTGTATAACGTTTCAGTCAGTCCTTCAGAGATATCAACTGTAAGTGCTGTTTGATTTTTTAAAAGGGTTTATAACTGATTATGATTAATTGTGTGTAGAACACTAAGCTGATTTGGTTATTTTTAACTCTTTCCGCCCTGTGGGCACTAAGAAGCCATCCATTAGCGAGCTCATTATCAGTTCGGCCAGGCCTTACAATTCGGCTGGCGGTGAGGGATGGAGCCGATATATTCAGATGGACAATCCCCCCGAAAAATTCCTTAGATTTTTCGACCCGTCCGGAATCGATCCTGGGTTAAATATATTACTATAACACTAGATATTTTCATCTATTAACTAATATATAAATTATATATAAAAGAATCTGTTGTTATTGTACTAGTACTGTACTGTACATATATACACTGTCGTAACTAGTTTTAATTTTCCAGCTAGATGCAATAACAGATTTTGAATTTTTCACCAATTACTGAATCAACTTCGTTATTAATTTAATAAAAATATCATAAGCTAATTTTTAATTCATTAAAAGTTCTTTTATCAATTATTTCTGATTATGTTTTAATATGTATATTATAGTCATGTCTACGTATAAAATTCAAATGAAGGAATGCAACGATATAAAGTTGGGAGAACAAAATCGAACTCCGACAGATGATTTGCTTATAAAAGGTAAATATTATGTTGTAAAAATTAAAATTAACACTGTCGTGTGTTATTAGATATTTTGCTAATTCGTTTAATATTTCAGGATGAGATAATAATTAAGAAATGAAATTTGGCAAGAGGGCTTATGCAGAATTTGAAATTTGGCGGAGCTTATGTAAGAGGCATTGATTGTATTAAATTTGGTGGTTAAAGACAGGTTAAAGAGGTGGTGGGAAGATAAATGAAGTTAACTTTCTTATCTCGAGAGAGTCTGGCTTAATGAAAATTTTACCTTTGAAATTGGAATTTCATCGGATGATATTTTTGAGTTAATTGAAGACACAGACTGTCCAAAAAAATTTTTCGGTAAACACCATTTATTCACTTCGTGTTCCAGAACAAACTTTTTGACGACATGAGCTTCTTTTTTAGGCTAATTGGCCTACGAGTTTACAAACATTCCTTTAAAAAACACAGAAAAATATCTAATTAAAATTAGACCAATGAACTCTAAGTTAGAATTTATAATTTTAATTAGATATTTTTCAGTGTTTTTTATCTATACATAACAACCGGGAGAGTAACATACAACTAATTCAAAATTTTGCAACACTATTTTTAATTCCTTGTACTTTCTCTTTTGCTAATGTAAAAATCTTTTTTAGATTCACATAATACACTAAAGATACATCACTAGCTTCTGCTTCTATAGAATTCCCTTATTATTAAATATATTATTCATACTGAATTTATTATTTATACGTTTAGCTGTTTGTATAAAAGTACGAATGCCTGATTATGAAAAAAGATACAAAACTAAATTTAAATGCGGTAACGAAAAATAAATTATTTTAAACATTCACGTAATTTTTATAATTTGTTTCCGACCATTTTTCATTATATGACATTTATGGATATTAGATAATATGAAGTTTATTAATATAGAATTTAACTAATTTCAGACAAACTCCGCATATGCCAAGAAAAGCTAATGAACAGATACAAGAACGAAAATGCTTATATGACTTCTTTGGAGTGAAGACAACGACTTTCCAATAAGAGAAGGCTTTGTGGATGTCAAACTCCATAAAACCGACATGTTTGGAAGAAAAACAGGAGAAATCATTCAAATTAAAGATATCTTTGCGAAGGAGTCTAAATTGCATCGCACAGTCCTCATCACAGGAGAACCGGGATATGGGAAAACAACCATTTGTAAGAAAATCGCCTACGATTGGGGAATGGATGAAGAGAGTCGCAGTTACTTGAAGTCGTTTGATATTTTAATTTTTATACAATTAAGCGAATTAGGAGAAAAAAGTATAATTGACGCTGTTATTGAATGCATTGACGACAAAGCAAACAGACAATTTGCAAAGAAACTCAGAGAAACTGAGTGGAATTTTTTGATCATTTTAGATGGATTTAACGAAACTCGCGATAAAGATTGCGTAAAACAATTTATAAGTAACGATTCATTCGAAATTTCTGTCCAAATGACAATAATAGTTACCAGCCGTCCACACGTTTCGGATGAAATTAGAAAACTTATCGAATATCGATGTTACATCGAAGGATTCACTCCAGAACAAAAGGAAAAATACATCGATTTCATTGTTAGAGACGAAGACAAATGCGAATATCACAAAAATATTATTAAAAACAATCGTTTCTGTTTCGAATTAGCGAAATGTCCTTTTATGCTGTACATGTTATGCTGTCTTCCTAAAAGTAAATCAGACAGATACGTAATGACAAATGCCGATGTGTTTATGTTAATTTTCCGTCTTATTATAGAAAAGTATAAGAAAAAGGAAAATGGAATCCATAACCTAAAAAGAGGAAAGTATAGAAATCAAATGAAGGAATGCAACGATATAAAGTTAGGAGAACAAGATCGAACTCCGACAAATGGTAAATATTATGTTGTAAAAATTAAAATTAACACTGTCGTGTGTTTTTAGATATTCTACTGCTTAGGAAGATAATATTACATAACAAAAAGTTATTACGATTTTCTACAAAATGATGTTTTTACATGAGAACAGTACACATTCCTTCCATATTTGAATTTTAGGCTATATTCTTTCTCATGCAAAAAATCTGCGTAACAGGGATGGCGAATCAGTTTGAATCTGTGTGTAAGAAAAAACATTGAACTACAAAATAAATAAATTGTGCATGCAGACGCTTTAGAAACAGAATAACTAAAAAAGAAGTAAAATGCATTGTAGAATAAATATTTAAAAACATGACTGAAAATGGTACTACTATAAAACCGATCTAAATAAAATATCACAGATGGCATTTGATTAATTCACATGATTTACAAATGCAAACTCAGATAAATTTATTATCATCCATTCCACGTTTACATGCTTTCTGTACTCAGACATTTTGACAACTTAATAACTTTATTTTTCATTCTGTCGTTTTTTTGAATGTTTTTCAACTTGTATGATGCTTCTAGCAAAAGGAAAAGAATGTGACAATAATGTAAGAAATCAACTAAAATATTAGTAGAATAGAGTGAGATTATTAGTAGATAGAGTGAGAATCTTATTCTTTCCTGTTTCGACTGAAGACACCGCAAAACAAGTAAGAGTTTCTATTACATAATATTGTATTATATTAAATAACTGAGAACGTGATAAATCTGGATATAAGAAATGTGATTTTCAGAATGTGAAAATTTTTCTATGCTATAATGAAGATTTTATAAACACCTTTCTGTACATTCAACGAACGTGTTATTTTAGTTTATCGAAAAAGAATAGTTCTTTTAATTTATATATTCAATATATATTTTCATGATATTAACAATAATCAATAAAAAAAACTACCAACGAGTTGAGTAACTTTTCAGCTGCTAAGAGATTTTATTTTAAAATAACTTCTATATTATTAATCATAATAAATAAATAAAATTATGTATGAAGCAATCTGTTATGAGATTTTGTTATAAACTTTTTTTTACATTATTAATTATTTAAAATGGAAAAACCTTAATTTTCAGAGTAGTAATAAGTTTTATATTTAAAAAACTGTAAATGCTAATAAGTAAAATCTTCATTAAGTCAGACCCTTCTCGAGATAAAAAATCTAACTTCATCTGTTTCTCTATCACTTCGATCTTTAACCACTAAATTTAATACAAGCAATACCTCTTATGCATAAGCTATCTTGACAAATTTCATTGCTTAATCTTCCTGAAATATTAAACGAAATAAACAACACACACAAACACGGAATTTTTTGCGTTTTTTTTACATCACAGGATACAGGGGGTCAGAAAACAAGGATAGTTGCAAAAAATAATCAGAGTCTAATTTGGCACGATTTCAAGTCTTCCTTGTTACGTAAACATAACAGCGGGGAGAGTAACATACAATTGATTCAATATTTTGCAACACCATTTTTAATTCGTTGTACTTTCTCTTTTGCTAAGGTAAAAATCTTAGATTCAAATAATACACTAAAGATACATCACTAGCTTCTGTTTCTATTGAATGCTCTGATTATTGAATATATTATTCATACTGTATTTATTAATTATATATTTAGCTGTTTGTATAAAAACTATAATACGTGATTTAAAAAAAAAAAACACAAAACTCAATTTAGATACGGTAACAGAAAATAAATTATTTTACACATACACATAATTTTTATATTATGTAACCGAAGTTTTTCAATATATGAAATTTATGGTTATTAGTTAATATGAAGTTTATTAATATAGAATTTAACTAATTTCAGACAAACTCCGCATATGCCAAGAAAAGCTAATGAACAGATACAAGAACGAAAATGCTTATATGACTTCTTTTCTTTGGAGTGAAGACAACGACTTTCCAATAAGAGAAGGCTTTGTGGATGTCAAACTCCATAAAACCGACATGTTTGGAAGAAAAACAGGAGAAATCATTCAAGTTAAAGATATCTTTGCGAAAGAGTCTAAATTTCATCGCACAGTACTCATCACAGGAGATCCGGGATATGGGAAAACAACCATTTGTAAGAAAATCGCCTACGATTGGGGAATGGATGAAGAGAGTCGCAGTTACTTGAAGTCGTTTGATATTTTAATTTTTATACAATTAAGCGAATTAGGAGAAAAAAGTATAATTGACGCTGTTATTGAATGCATTGACGACAAAGCAAACAGACAATTTGCAAAGAAACTCAGAGAAACTGAGTGGAATTTTTTGATCATTTTAGATGGATTTAACGAAACTCGCGATAAAGATTGCGTAAAACAATTTATAAGTAACGATTCATTCGAAATTTCTGTCCAAATGACAATAATAGTTACCAGCCGTCCACACGTTTCGGATGAAATTAGAAAACTTATCGAATATCGATGTTACATCGAAGGATTCACTCCAGAACAAAAGGAAAAATACATCGATTTCATTGTTAGAGACGAAGACAAATGCGAATATCTCAAAAATATTATTAAAAACAATCGTTCCTGTTTCGAATTAGCGAAATGTCCTTTTATGCTGTACATGTTATGCTGTCTTCCTAAAAGTAAATCAGACAGATACGTAATGACAAATGCCGATGTGTTTATGTTAATTTTCCGTCTTATTATAGAAAAGTATAAGAAAAAGGAAAATGGAATCCATAACCTAAAAAGAGGAAAATATTTTGACGGAGAAGATTTAATTATTAAGCTGGGAAAAGTTTATTACGTAAAGGAATTTCTTGATTCTACAAAGGATAACGGTTTAGAAACAAGAAAAGTCAAAGAGAAAGATTTGCATAAGGCTTTCAGTAAAGAGGAATGCCAATTTTTCCTTGATCTCTACATTTTTGTAAAACGTACAGCTAAGGATAATGGAGAATATTTCGACTTTATTCATCGATTATTTACCGAATTTATTATGGCATTTTACATTTTCGATTCGATCGATGTAGTTACTTTACCAGAGGTTGACGGTATTTTATTCTTTATTCTCGGTTTGTTTAGAGATAATCCATTTGCAGGCAACTTTATTAATTTTCTACGAAGAATCTTCCTGCATCCCGTAACATGGCTGAATTTTTACAACGAAATCAAAAACGAAAGAAATAAACAACTGTTTTGCGCAGAAACAAAATTAGTTTTTTATTTCGATTGTTTAGACGAGTTCTTGAAATTATCAAATATTTGTAAATTCAATAGAATTTATTTCTGCATTCCGGATCGTATTGATGACTGGGAAAATATTAAAAAAGAATTAATTAAATTCCACAGTAATCTGAATTATTCGCACGATTTTCAGATATGTGTATTGCTTGACAGAAGATTTTCTGACGATCCTGCCACATCGAGTAGTCCTGTTACATATATCGATCTGTATGAATCTGTGAAATTCTTAAATTATTTATTTGAGAGCTACAGTTGGGATAAATTCAAATTTTATTTTTATGGCATTGTTTGCAATTGTAATACAGAATGTTCTATTATATGCGATAGAAATATTGATAGTTTTAGAAAAATTGAGGAAGATGCGACGGAAGAAATTAAAAAAGAGTTTAATAATCGAGGTGAGAAACCTGTTGTTTTATGCAACGAGGGCGAATCTGGTGACGATCGAAGATACTTGATGTCTGAAAACCAATATAATTCTTTATTGCCATACTTTATGAAACATCCTCTTCGTGGAGGTTTTTTTCCTGTTATGGATAATTTTTGTATGGAATCAAGTCCATATAAAAAGTATGGACTTCATTTGATACAAAAAGTAATAACAAAAAGTATGAAACTAAAAGCTCGTGTAAAAAGTTATTTACACAAATAAACATAAAATACTTTTTCAGGATTGTTGGTTTGAAATCTGTAAATGTAATATATTTGAATTATGGTTTCTCAAACGGGATCTCCGGGATCCCGGCTATTTTTTAACACGAGAAATATCCCTGAAATCCCGCAAATTTCTTAAAAATTCACTTTTTTCTTATTTTTTGTTAAGGTGAGGAAATTTTGCAAATTGAAAGTATAATTATTAACCCATAAACTGTCAAAATACATTTGTATTTATTATTTTAAGCCCGCTTATTAGTTTTTTTTTAAATTTTTCTTATTATGGCATGTCGCAGATTGTCAATAATCAATACGTAGCCTATTTATGACCGGACTCTGAAAATTATTTACTTGTCAGAACCTGTAATAACTAGAATAATTGCGCTTACAGTTCTTAATTTTTAACCATGCTCAGTATCCAATATATAATGGAGACGGGTTGATAATAATAATAGGCGCAGAGCCCAAACTATTAAGAGTTAAAAGTTGAAATTTGGTACACAGTAGGGTATGTCATGAAAACGCACGCTAAGAATGGATTTTTCGAAATTCCTCCCCACGGGGAAGAGGGCCAGGATTAAGGCTTAACACTTCCATCAACAATGGAAGTGTTACGTAACAATGGAATTGTTAAAAGAAAGCGACGTGCAAGACGCAGATGAAGTTTTTTCGTTTTGCGGGAAATCGAACATATTTTTAGACCAATCTAAAAATTCTCTAATTAGTCTGGAAACAAGGGAACCCAATTCTTGCATTCTGTGAAAACGGGTAAGGTTGACTGTAACGTAATAATCTTTATCTTAGTTATCGTTACTTTTGCCGGAGCAACGCCGGCCTACCTGCTAGTCTTCGATAACTGCGTAACGCCAGGTTGCGCAAATTGAGCAAGGATGTAAATGAGTACGAAGTCTGCAAGTATGAAATTTTTCTTTATAAACCTGATTATTAACGCTAAACGAACTGTCGAATTATCGGGCTGTAAGCTCGATGCCGCTATTAAAGCAGACGCGGTAGACAAATCAAGAATACTAGATGGCAAAAGAAGTACTGTAACACATCTCGAAAACGAACTAGAAATCTAGGCTACGGGTGAAAAAATATTTAACATCCATATTCTCTTAAATGCGTTAAAGACGATTCCACCCACATGAATTAAATCGAAAAGGGCATACTCGGTAGTGGGACTTTTCATTACTAAAATAAGAACTAGATCGAGTGATCGAAGTATCGACCATCTTTGCTTTTTAAAATTTTATTATAAAAATTTACAATAATATTTTGTATTATGTTTTATTTACATAACAACTACCTTCTAACTTTGAAGTTTAATATAAGTTCATTTGTTTTTTACTTTTTAACTCAATTTAAAGGTATTTTTGTTGTATGTAGTTTTCAACAAATTTTAATAAACTTTTTTTATTTGTGAAAATTTCTACGTAACTCAAAAGTAATTTTTAATATATATCTTATACAGAATTATTAATATGATTTTGGAGGTTGCAGAACGCATTAAATTACTTTAAAAAATGAAAAATAGTTATATCATTTGATTTCATGATATTTTGTATACAGTAGACCCTCCCCTATAACGCGTAGATACGTTTCACGTTATTCGAATTTCACGTTGTAGGAATCCTTAAATACATGAGCCAACCACAGCCCGACACATGTGAAGTTTACGGACTACGGCTGTTTGAAAGGTTTTCTTCCATAAAATTAATCGATTCTAGAATAATTCGACTCAACATTTCTAAAACACGTATAATTTTTTGGGAATAATCCGTATAAACTATGCTATAAACAAAAAATTGTAGGATTACTTGCCGAGTGTGCACCGTTCGACGTCGCCATTGCTTAACCTTGTTTTCGTCGCGGAGCAGCGCATCGAACGGCGGGCGCGTTTTCTGATAATTTATTTTTCTACGAAAAATTCGTTGAACTTTGAAGACATCATTAATAGAAATAATTTTTATGGCCGTTGAATAAGAAATGTTTCTTTCACAAGAAATGTATAAAATTAGTGCTGTATTAGACTTACGGTACCTAATTTACATACTGTACAGACGACAGTAAACTCAACATACCCGCCTAAACTCTCCGTAGCGTGGCGCTGGACGGCGGAAAGTAGTTCGGCTGCTCGTCCACTATTGGTCCAGATTCGACCAATACTGTCGCGACACGAGTCGGCGACGACGTTTTACGAGTCCCTTTTAGCGTCCTTATACGAATACTGTCGCAATTTTTTCGCTACGTTATAGGAATCTCTGTTATAGGAACCCACGTTATAGGGGGGTCGACTGTATCTTAAAAATAATTAATTCTGTCCCTGGATTTCTCGGGATCCCGTAAAACAGTTCAGTTTTATCTCGGAATCCCGGGACAAGCAAAAGACCGGGAAATGAGAAACCCTAACCTAGCCACAACGCGTTGTGGTCGTTTTTTTCGGTCTTTGAGCCTAACATATATACATTCTCAATTTTAAACTTAGCCAATTTTTTGACAAATGAGACAAATACTGTACATACCAGTTATTTATTTGACAAATCTATAATAATGTTTTATATTCATTGTGCGGCAACTTTACTGCAAATAAAAAAGTAAATAATTTTAACAAATAAAATTAAAATTATACTGTATTGTAATCACTGTCTTCAGATAAGATGAAATTGCACTAAAAATGGGTTTCAAATATTTCATTATAATTATTCTTACAATATAAAGTGACTAATAAATATATAATTACATAAAATTAATTCTAATGAAGTTAAGCCGATACTTGAACTCGACTATGGAACGTGAATCACTGCTTGACAAACTTCAAGTCAAACTTGCCGTTACCATTAGATTTTTATTTAAAAAATTATTCTGGAGAACTATGATTTTTTTATTTATTTTAAATCAGAGTTATAAAACATCCTTATGGAAATGGATATTTTTATTTCTGTCGTTGTATAAACGACAGTAATAGTCTAGGACAGGTGTGGCCAACTTTTGTGTACATAAGATCTTTTTATCTTAAAAATGTGTCGTGATCGACTTGTTGTCGTAGGCATAGTGTAAAGTGGCGACGGAGAGGTGTGAAATTCATACTATGTTTAGATAGGTAAGAAAAGCCACAATTTAATTTAAAACATGAAAAAGGTACTTACATTTTAAACAGAAGAAAAATTGAAACTCAACATTGTCACTTTCGGGGACCACCACTTCACCCTTCCTCTCTCTACCGTGTCCCGACTCTCGACCTACTCTCTCTGTCCCTCTTTCCGCTTTTCTTTTTTTTCGGTTTTACGACCCTTTTATCCCGTTCGCACCGAGCATTTCGATCTAGATTGTGACTAAGGTCAGAGAGTGTTTCGTGGTACGAACGCTCTCGACCGTTTCAATCTCGACTGAAACGATCAACTGCAGAGAGTTCTCGAAACTAGATCCGGTCATAAGAGAGATCCCACAATCCCACGCGCGCGAGAAAATACAAGATGGCTGCGGAACACTTGTCGGGCTATCGACAGAGAAATAAAAAAGACATCTGGAGAGACGACGACATCTGTCTATTATTAGATGTTTGGCAAGAAAAAGTATTTATTTCTAACCAAAACTTACATTTCGTTTGTTGGTGTTTGTGACTTACCGCGTAGTTACGTCAGTTTTATGATCGCGTGTAATAGCATGGTTCTTCTCGAGCGGACTGCCTGTGCGAACAGCACGACGTTCGACTAGCGACAGTCACAATCCAGATTGTAGGTAAATCGAGATCGAAGTGAGTCGTGGATTGTGTGCGAACGTAGTATTTGTCTACATTTCTTATTCCCCTTTTACAACTGTACGCAAATGGATTGCACATGGACCGACAAAACCGCATCTGTGGGAGGACATGGAGGTCCAATATCACTACAGTTGCGTTTGCGCGTTACGTTCACGCGTTGCATTCGGTTACAAGTGTAACACATTAAGTCAAGACATCGCGAACGATCGACCAAAATTGGCTTCGGGATCGACTTGTTGGCCACCCCTGGTGTATATAAATGTCGAACTATAATAAAAATATAAATTTGATAAAAACAATTTACGTGTTCTTAATTTTAAAAAGATTTTAATTAAGGGTTCAAAAAATGCAGGCAAAATTAATAACAAAAAATAACAAATAACAATAAATTATTAAAATAATTATAAAACTAAAACTAAATTAATACTAAATAAATTAAACCTAAAAATTAATTTAAAATGCTTTAACATAGTGATTCTCAAATTTTTTTTTCGTCACGGTACACTTTTAATAATTTAAAATTTTTTTATTTTAATTAATTAATTATTTTTTATTTTTTAATTTAAAATTAAAACTTTTAATTTGGTGGCACACACGGTTACTTCGGTAAGTACCGCAGGAAGTAGGGTTTCTCATTTCCCGGTATTTTGCTTGTCCCGGGATCCCGGGATAAAAGTGAACTGTTTCCCGGGATAGAATAAATTATTTTTAAGGTATACAAAATATCTTGAAATCAAATGATATAATTATTTTCCATTTTTTAAAGTAATTTTAAAGTTCTGTAACCTCCAAAATCATATTAATAATGCTGTGTAAGGTCTATAGGCCTATAATAAAAATTACCTTTAAATAACGTAGAAATTTTCACAAATAGAAAAAAATTAATTAAAGTTTGCTGGAAACTGCATACAACAACAACAAAAAAAATGTTTTGAATTGAGTTAAAAATTAAAAAAATGAACTTCTAATTTAGAAGGTAATTTTCGTTTTTTAAATAAAATATAATACAAAATATTGCAAACTTTTATAAGATTTTAAAAAGCAAAGATGGTCAATACTCCGATAACTCACTCTAATTCTTATTTTAGTAATGAAAAGTCTTGCCACCGAGAATGCCCTTTCCGATTCAATTGATGTGATTGGAATAGTGTTTAATGCATTTAAGAGAAGACAGATATTATGTGTTTTTTCACCTGTAGCCTGGAAGCTTTCGAGTTCGTTTTCGAGATTGTAGTACTTCTTTCGCTCTCTAGTATTCTTGATTTGTCTACCTTGGCTGCTTTAATAGC